GGCAGGTTGCCAGATTCTGAGTAGAGCAGGAACCTATGCCTAGGTACCTGTAGTCTCCTCTTGCTGTAGTTTACACATGAACTGGGTAAACCTAGTGAGCCAGGTATGGTGAAGGTGGGAGGAGGCTTACCTGTTGGATTTTGGAGCAATGTGTCTCATACCTTGATTGTGTGTATTTCTGTGTGCATGTGTAATGTGTGTGTGTGTGTGTGTGTGTGTGTGTGTGTGTGTGTGGTCCATGCGCATGTCTGTGTCTGTGTGTGGTGTGTGTCTGTCTCAGTGTGTCTGTGTGTGTACCCCTGTGTATGTGTATATGATGTGTCTGCTGTGTGTCTGTGTTTATATATGTGATGTGTAGGCACCTGCAGTGAGGACTGCAGGACAACCTTGGGTGTCATTTCTTAGGAGCCATCCATTTTGCTTTCTGAATCTCAGTGACCAGCCTCACTAGTTCTAGCTGTCTGACCAGTGAGCCCCACAGATCTTGCCTGTCCCCTACTTCCTCAGTTCTGGGGTTACAAATGCATGCCCCCATGCCTGTTTTTGATTTTGTTTTAACTTGGGGGGCTCCAACTCAGGCCCCCAGACCAATTTTTAAAGAAATCTCAGCTATTGAATGATGGAGTGGTCAGAGAGGAGAAAACCCTTGTTTGAGTTCTGTTTCCTTCTTTTGCCCAGCATCATATCTAACACTTAGGTTTCTAGTAAATTATTATAGGTCAAAGAATTAACTCGAAGGCTTCCTTTTCTCTCTGTCAGTTGTTCTTTCCTGCTTTAGTGAGGAGGGGGTGCACAGTGTTCCCTAAGAAAGGCAGAATCTAGACTCCACCAGATATGGCAGTATTACCTATGTTAGGGTCAGAGCCTGGGCTCTGGCTGCCCAATCAAGCTAGATCTGTCACCAATAGCTAATTAAAAAAGCAGGTGATGGTGAAACGAAGAAAACGGCAATTAATTCAATACAGTCATGTTGAAAAGGGAGCAAAGAAAAGCTGGGCATAGTGGTATACAACTTTAATCCCAGCAGTAGGGAGGCAGAGGTGGGAGAATCTTTGAGTTCGTGGCCAGCCTGGTTTACAAAGCAAGTTCTAGGACAGCCAGGGCTATTACACACAGAAACCCTGTCTCGAAAGAAGCAAAACAAAACAAAACAAACAAACAAAACAAAACAAAACAAAAAAACAAAAGGAGGAGGAGGGGAGAGCAAAAAGATTCAGGGACTCCCCACGTCCATCTTCAGGGTTCTGGCATAAGATTTATATTTAACTAGAAGGCCAGAGGTATGCGTAATTAAGCAGTCTTGGTCAGGGTGAGTTTTTGTCCATCACTGACCCATCATTATCCAGCCCCAGGCTGTCCTATACGATGGTCTAACAAGTTGACAAACTACATGCAATCTCTTTCTGGGAGACAAGTGTCTTCTTTGGCTCCAGGGTTCAGCTGTTTCCCTTATTTGAACATGGGACTCCTGGGGAAATTCCAATTTCTTGGTGACTACTGTTTCAATGGTCCGGGCTGGGGGTAGGGTGGTGGTCCAAGTGTCTCTTTCAGTTTTTTTTTGTTTTTGTTTTTGTTTTTTGGTTTTTTTTTTTTTTTTTTTTTTCGAGACAGGGTTTTTCTGTGTGTAGTCCTAGCTGTATTGGAACTCTCTTTGTAGACCAGGCTGGTCTTAAAGTCAGAGACCCACCTGCCTCTGCCTCCTGAGTGCTGGGATTAAAGGTATGCACCACCATCACCTGGCTCTTTCAAATGGTTATAGAATGAGATGGGAATGTGAAAGAATTTCTAACTCTCAGTTTGGCTGACACATGAATTGTTTTTAGAGGTGTCCTTTCCTTGTGGGACAATGACAAGTAGGATAGACATTGTAGAGGCAGCTGTGTAACCTGACTCGCTGTGGTGTACCTGCAGGTTGATCAGTTAGCACTGCTCCTGTCCCCTGTCCCTGCCCCCTTTCCTCACCTCCTCCTCTGTGTCCTCCTAGATCAGTGATTCTCAAGTTACCAGCCCAGGCTGGAAGGGCGGGCAGGTTCATAGGACTTCCAGAATTGTATCACCCCTATGCCTGCTTGCTTCCTGTTATTGTGCCCTTGCTTGGAACTTACTCCCACAGTACTTTCTTGGATTTCAGACCATCCTTAGTAAGCTTGGGTGGAGGTGACTGTTAATTTTAGAATCCTTTAAAACGTTTTGAACAAACAAGATTTTCTTCATACAGTTCAAAACTGTTATAGTTGGGGCTGGAGAGATGACTCACTGGTAAAGTGTTGCTGTATAAGCAGATGAGCAGTTTGGTCCCCAGTGCCTATGTGAATAGCTGGCCATGGTGGTGTGTGTGTGTGTGTGTGTGTGTGTGTGTGTGTGTGTGTGTGTGTGTGTGTGCATTTGTAATCATAGTACTGGGAAGGCAGAGCCAGGAGGAACTCCAGGCTGCTAGTCAGCTAGCCTGAATCACTGAGCCATGGATCCCAATGAAAGACCTTGACTCAAAAAACAAGATGGCTGGCTCCTGAGGAACACCTGGGATTGATCTCTGGTCACCACATGTACATAAACACACATGAACATACACCTGCGCACACACACATGGGTGCACCTTATAAAAAGGTACAAGGTGGAGAATCTTTACCCCAGCAGCCTAGTTCCCATTTCCTCCTTTTCAAAGGCAGATGTCATAACAGTATCTCATTGAGTAGTCTTCTAAAATATTTCTGCATGTATAGGAATATACACAGGAATGCACCTGGTGCCATGGGACACCTAAGTCAAGGACCGCAGGCTAGATTAGACTAGGGTAACAAGGTGGTACGTCTGTAGGACCCCGAGTCCCTCTAGCTTCAGGGACTACAGTTTGCTAAAGTGTTGTGGCCCTACGTAATTTCCTGTTACAGCTTCAATGTTCTTCAGTCTCTTCTCTGGAGAAGGAGAGGAAGACACACATATCTTTGTGTTTTTCTGTGTTATTTTGACAGTGTTTCATGTGTCTAAAAATTAAGGTGCCTCAAAAATTCACAGTAGCTTTGATTGCCTGCACAAGATTCATGCAAGTTCAAGTCAGTCAAAATTCCAACATGGATGGGGGAAGGGCTCACAAGCCTGATCAAGGTGTCATTTGATTGTTCTTGAGACATGGGCTAGCTGATAGCACTCGGCTCTTCTACTTTCCTGTAATCTTTTCTTCACCCATGGTCTTGAGACTTGCCAACGACTGCAAAGACTGTGAGGAGGCATTTTAGCTTCTTGGTTGGAAACAGACCCCTTGCCTCATTCTGCTTTGAAACTTGCATGAGTGTGGTGCCAGCTGCTCTGTTCTGTTTTCTCTCCCAAGACGTGTTCTCAGCCCAATGGCTTTAAAAAAAAAAAAAAAAAAAAAGTGTATTCCTTTTTGTTTCATGTATATGAATGTTTTCCTATACATGTATATATGTGTGCCTAGTACCCAGAAAAGGGCATAGTATTGTCTGGAACTGGAGTTACAGATGGCTATTTATTGTATAATTTGGGAGACTTTCTTCTGTGACCAGGTGACCTAGGCAACTGCTCTGTTCCACTCCTTACCATGTTCTTAGACAGAGTCCCCTCCTGAGCCTCACTTGCAGCACCTGTAAGAAAAGGGTACAAAGTAACAGATTCATGAGCTTCCACATGGGTCCTGGGAACCGAACCTGGGTCCTCTACAAGAGCAGCTGAGTTATCTCTTTAGCTCCAGCCCAATAGCTTTTGGTAAGTTTCTATTTCTCATGAGACTGGCCCACACCTTGGAGAACCCCTAGAGTGTATTGCTCGCTCCTAGGTTGCTTGCCATTAAGTTGGATCTCCAAATGTTGCATTTATTATCTAACATGTTTTCTGTGGGAAAAGGGTAGATAGAATTCTCCATGTGGCTCAGCTTTCCAAGCTTTGCTGGATATTTCAAACATCAGTGTTTCTTGTTCTGTCCCCAAATTCTTTTTCCTGTTTTAGGCACATAATGACATATTGCTGCTTTAATTACCTGTTTGTTTTTTCAGAAACATGTGTGAGCATGTTTGGAGGGAAGTTCATGCCCAACATAATTGTCAGAAAATTGAGTATTTGTTCCTTGATGACCATAGCAGGTGGGAGGGACAATGAGAACACTGAAGACAGGGAGTCTTTGTTCCCTAGAGAATTTACTGGATTCCAGGAGCCAGTTTTTCTTGTTTTTAGCGTTTTCTCACCATGTCTGGATCAAATTCAAGATGGATTGGTAGGGATGGGCTCATTATATTTGTCATGAGGGAAGAAATCTGGTGTCCAAATCTCTATATTGAATTTCCTAACATGCTGTCTATCCACATCCCTCGCCCAAGAGAAGAAACTCTATGAGAGCAGAGACCTTGTGTGTCTTCTTCACCTTGGTGGTCCTGGTGATAAAGCAATATGTGGGAACACATAGGGAAGCTCAGTAAATGTGTTGCCTAGGTAACCAGAAACCCAGTTCTCCTCACTGTGGTCCCTTTTGAAGACTGCCTCAGTACATTCAGGGTGAATGGTGAGATCACCCTATCGTATCCTCAAGGTGAATTTCAAGTCTAGACTTCTCTGATGATATTAGAGGAGAGGATAGGTAGAGTTACAGAAAAAGATGTTGAGTTTGCAGAAGATCTGGGTTTGAGCCTTGGGTCTTCAGTTAATGTGTAGGATGGGGGTGGGCATGCTTTCTCTATCTACAGTAGTTGTAACAATTATACCATCCTACATAAATTTAACATCTTTAGATGGGGAAATGTATGGAAAGTGTGTTTTAGACTATAAAATGTTTGTCAGTGTTATCACTGGAGTAGCACGGGAGGTGTGGGCCCTACCAGGACCTAGGAAAGAGTACTCCCTCCTCAGGCCTAGATTTCACACCTGTGCTACTGGTAAACACATTGTCATCAATGATGAGCCCTTTGTCATCCTCCTTTGGAGCTGTCCTTCAAGAGCTGTATTCACACCAACAGCTGCCTGACCACATTTACGCGTTTTTCTCTCCCCAGGCGGCTGCTGAAGAGTGAACTTGGATCATTCATTACAGATTATTTCCAGGTAAGCTCTGAGGGTCCCAGCCCCCGTCATACTTGCATTTGACATACCAACAGGGGTGTCAATATTGCACATTTGGGTGCCCCTTTAATGCCCACAGTTATATGTGCTGCAGTGGCTACAGGGGGCTGCTGGGCCAGCTTGGTCACTGATGCTAGTGGAAATCAGATCCCTTGCAGTCATTCTCAGGACTCATTTGTATTGTGAAAAATTGTTGCTCATTTGGGTTCTATCTGTCCTTACCATCTGAGGAACTGTGTCTCAGAGGCTTTATTGTGTTGATTGACAGATTAATTATAGAAGAGTACACAGCACTTCTATGAGAAAAAGAGTTTGAGGGATAAAACTGAAGTGAGAAGAATGTTCTTATGTGTGTATAAACATGTGCATGACCTGCTTTCTAGAAGGCAATTCTTTCTCCAGTCTGCTTCCTATTTTGTGGGTTGTGTATTGCATGTCCAGCCTGGGGACATAGGAGGGAAAAGGCAGAATCTGCTTACTGTTACCAGAGGACACTGAATCACACCACTGCCTGAAACCCCTCCTGTCTTGTGTATGGTGTTTAGTTGGGCTGGGTATATGTGCCCTTTATACATATTATTTCTTGTCACTAAGTCTGTTCCACTGAAGGCGGGATTGGATTTGACAGTCTACCTTCCCTTCTGTATATACACATTGTTGGGAGACTATGAAAGTCAAGGTCCTGGGTCTCTACAAAGGACAGTTTCTAAGTTATACTCATAAGCTGCTTCCTTAACTCTAACCAAAGGTGTCTGGGAGTTGCTGGGTGACAAGTAGTGACCAACTAGGTGGCATTTCCATGCAATCAGTCTCTACTTCTCACTCATTTGCTAGAGTGGGCTTGGGAAGCTGCTTTATTTCTGTCTGTCTCAGTTTCCTTGTTTGTAAAATGAGAACCTCATTTTGTGGTTTGCATGAAATAATAGTAGTTGGGAAGTCGATGCTAGCTGTAGCAGGTAGCATAGCATGCTAGTCAAGATCATGGGCCACTGAGGGAGGGTATGTAGGTTCAGTGCCCAACACAGCCATTTGCTGAATGTTACTGTAAGCAAGTTGCTATATCTCTGTTTCAATTTCTTCTTCTCCAAAACCATGATCTAACCTTTAGGACATACCCATATAGTGTTAACGCAGAAACTAAATACATTTTTATCTTCCAAGTCCTACTGCTGGCACAAAGTAAGACATTAATAGTGTTTGTTAATTTATGCTGGTTCTTATTTATTATTCTGAAGTGCAAACCATTCATTCAAATGGGAAAGGAATGTAAAAATACCTATGATATTGATGGCACATCATTTTGTATTTCATGTCCAAGTGGAACATAATTTTAAATCTGTTTGAAGAGAATTTTGTTGTTAAAAATCCAGAAATCATTTTGTTTTGCTACTGAAGTATCAGGAAATGTCAAACTCTTATGTCCACTTTTAAAGTATGACAGATGTCAGTAAGTTTAACACCAGTGCATATACACATGTGTATGTGCATGCACACTTGTACACACACACACACTCACCCCAGGAAACACTAACTCTAAACTTGGACAAAGATCCAATGGGAACCTGGAGTTCAATCAAATCATCCTCAACTGTTTTGACCTTAGCATCTGGAGAGACAGAGACAGACAGAGAGAGAGAGAGAGAGAGAGAGAGAGATGTAGCCTGTGTGGTGAGTCCCGACTGTGAATCATCTCAGTTGCCCATCACTCAAAGGTCAGCCTCTACCTCTCTCTTCCCACTGTGGTCTCTATTGACTGATTTGAAACTTGGCTACTAAGAAGAGGTTCCCCCCCCCCCCCCCCAGTCCTGAAGAAGCCTGCTGGGCCTGCCTGCTTTCTGCCTTGACATTTCAAAGAGACAGGGTCTGTGTGGTTTCAGTCAAGCTGTAAATGTCAGCTGTCTTTTGGCGTTGAGGGCTACCCCCAGGCCTGTAGGAAGGGTGTGTCTGGGCGGGGACTTGTGTACATGGGAAGCCCTGAGGTTTTGAGGGGTGGCTAATACTGCTTACAAAGATGTCAGATACTTCAAAACTAATAACCACATGTCATTTTTATCAGGATCCTCACCAGAGAAGCTGTTTGCTGAATGCCAAGTCTTTTTCTTGTCTGATGTGGGGACTGATTTTCAGAACTTTAAACCTGGGGTTTTCTTTACTTAGGGTGCTAAACTGGAGGAAGGCTCTCTTAGATACTCTTCTAATGTAGGTTTTAAGTTTATTTGTTTGGTTTTTTGTTTGTTTGTTTGTTTTTAAGCTGTGAGTGTCCATCCCTCCCCTGGTGTTTTTAACCATTTAAGCATCCTTCTCTTTAGAGTATAGTGAATGTTCTGTTTACATTTTTAGGGTGAGCAGGAGGGACTGTCTACCATACATACCAGAAGTGACATTCGGTGAACATACAGTGACAGTGAATAACATAGAGATCGGGCTTAGAAAGTGTTTTTTCCTTTAGCCCTTGTATTCATGCCTGAGAAGTCTTGGGCAGTATTCTTCAGGACTTGGCAATCTCCTTATTAAAGGAAAAGAGAGCTGGCCTTGAACTTGGTATGCTTAGCTAGGGATACATGGCTGGCTACGGTTCTGTGGCAGTCTTTAGTTTGCTGTGAATTAATTTCTAAGTGGTTTTTCCACTTATGCTAAGTGGTGCCCCTACAGCTTCCTTTTAACACACAGTGACAATTTTGACAAGTAGTTTTAAGAAACAGAAGTAACACATAAAGGACCATGGTGCAGATTGCCCTGGCTATGGCCCCCATGGTGAGAGTGGTCCAGGAGCCATTCAAATGGGAAGGCTGGGCGCTGCTGAGCAGGCTTCCAAAGCTGCCTGAGAAGTCTCCGCAGAGGAGACAGTCAGGCACACAGCTTTGAAACAGCCTCATTTCCAGGGGTGAAGCCATAAGAGGCCCCAACAAAGGACTGGAGGGAGGTAGGGGCCCATGAGAAGCAGAGTCCCGGGGCAATCAGGAAAGTCCCTAAACCTTGGTTGCTAAGAAGAATGTAAACAAGACCTGTGATGTTCCTTAGTATGAGGCTTAGCTGCCAGCCCCAGGCACCTGCATTTGGAAGGGAGGTCTGTCCCCTCTTGGGACCCTTCCCTCCCCAGTGAGAGTTTACCATTTTTAGAGCCACAGACAGAGCTCCTCCTCCTGTCTTGGGCTCTGCTTTTGCTAGCGCAGGTGAGCATTTTCATTTTACCATTTTAAAGAAAGAACATCCAGAGTGAAGAATAATGAAACTGACCTGAGGTGAGGACAGGGGCAGCAGGTGGGATAGTGGTGCTTATCTCCGGTCTGCACACAGAGAAGACAGCCTGTTCCATGTGCGGAAGACTGAATAGATTTCCATGAGGCACTGGCCAGCTAAAGCTCTGACATTTCCAATACTGACTCCCCTCCCCACTTTCCCTCTGTCTGTTTTGAATTGTGCCTGGAAGGAAAATTGAGGTTTCCAAGTAGAACTCTATCCTAGTGACTGTTTGGAGGGATATTTGCTTCTCTGTCATGCAATGGATATTATAAAATGACCTGAATTTTTGGATTACCTAGTAAAGTATCTCTCTGGTTTAAAATGTGGGGGGCAGGGTGTCGAATACCTCACTTCTCAGTTCTGCATCTGTGGGTTACACTATGTGCTAAAAACCTTGCCCCAAGCCCAGACGGTTCCTTTCTTTCTTTCTTTTGGTGAGATTAAAGTTTTGCTTCATGTATAAACTTCAGTTAAAATCAAAGGCTTAGGGTGAATTAGTGTTAGGGAAAAGGGAAATGTTTGTGTGTGTGTGTGTGTGTGTGTGTGTGTGTGCACGCATGTGTGGATGCACATGTTCATGTTAGCACACACAATGTATGTGTGTGTATATGTATGTATGTATGTATGTATGTATGTGCATACATTGGTTTATCTGGTTGCTGCAAGAGCGCCAGGAAAAGACAGTGTTAGGGAAATGTGCACTGGACAGTAGCTGAGAGAGGAGACCCATGTTGAAGGTAAATGGAGCAAGAATGTAAATGAATCTACCACCATCAGCACACACAGTAGCACTGACTGATGATGGGAATGGATGGTAGGGTCTTCAGACTAGAATAAATAACTATAAATAAAATAAGTAATTATGGAAATGAGACTAGCCTGGTGGTGGTGCACACCTTTAATCCCAGCACTCAAGAGACTCAGGCAGGCTGGAGGACAGCCTGGTCTACAGAGTGAGTTCTGTGCTACACAGAGAAACAGAAAACAAAAATAAATACAGAAACAAAAAGAAAAAAAAAAAATAAAATGAGACTTGTAAGGGATAGATAGGACAGGGTGTTGAGAATAACTCTTGTGGTTTTCAAATTAAAACTGAATGGGGGAGAAAAAGTACAACTCACCACTTTCATCCATCTCAGAACACTTCTATAACAAGCAAGATTCCCCAAAAGGAAACGGAGATTGTGAGGTGGCCATCTGGGAAGAAGGGGAATTCCATGCATACTCTGTGTGTTAAAAATGGGGCCAGTGCACAAAGGGGCTTTGACAAGGAGGCTGGGTGAGGATTATGTTTTTAGGTGAGAAGGTCCTTAGGATTGAGGTTTGACTGGAATTTGGAACAAAGGCATGATGAATCCTAGAAGTTCCTGGGGGCCCCTCTGACCTTGGAGGTGGAGCTACCTAAGTGAGAGGTACAAGGAATTTCTCTGCCAACCAGGGATTACCTTTCATCAGATTCCTTGCCCCCAGTCTTCTGAGCAGTTACATGAATTCTGTGCAATTATTAGAATATTTTATTGTGCTTCTCTCATACTTTATGAAACTAAGTGGAAACACGAGTCTTGAAATTGATAACTCCAGGCCTTACTAGTTTTTAGATAAAGATGAAAATCAATAGGTATGCTGAGGTAATGGATCGCTGGCTTCATTGGATTTGGGTTACTGCATCTTTAGTTGTGAAGGAAAAGAATTGCATAGAGTCAAAAAAATGCTGAAAAGAAATAAAAGGTGGGCTCAAA